GCACAGCACCAGCTCTTACTCTGAAGGAGCCACTGGGTGGGTTTGAACCAGCACCTTTGGATAGCAGTTCAGAACACTTCACCTCTGTGCTACCAGGGTTCCTTCACTGTCTACCTTTAAGGAACAACTTGTCACATCTACTCTTCTCCTGGAACAAGCTCTCCATAGGGGGAGGGTGTTGGGAGAGAAGACATCATTTTTCATGTCACATCCTATTCTTTTTCCTGAGGTCTTCTACCCTCTGTGTGGACCCAGGGAATCTGTTCATGGTTTGAAAAGCAGCAGGGAAGTAGTGAAAGTATCTTTGAGCACTCTAGAAGAACCACCGCTGAACACTCTAGAAAAACCATTGCTGAACACTCTAGAACAGTCATCACTGCACTCCAGAAGAACCATCGCTGAACACTCTAGAACAGTTATCGCTAAACACTCTAGAAGAACCATTGAACACTCTAGAAGAACCATTGCTGAGCACACTAGAAGAACCATCATTAAATGCTCTAGAATCATCACTGAACACTCTAGACAGTCATCGCTGAACGCTCTAGAAGAGCCATCACTAGATGCTCTAGAATCATCGCTGAACACTCTAGAAGAATCATCACTAAATGCTCTAGAATCATCACTGAACACTCTAGAAGAACCATTGCTGAGCACTCTAGAAGAACCATCATTAAATGGTCTAGAACCATTGCTGAACACTCTAGAACAGTTATTGCTGAACACTCTAGAAGAACCATCGTTTGAGTGGACTCTCTGGGTGTGCAGAATGAGCCTGAGGTGTCAGAGCGCTGACTGAGAACCCAATAGGGTCCAGAAAAGAGAATGGAGAGCAGGGGTGCTACCCAACATGGCACATGTGATAAGTGTCACAGAATTGCCCGTGTAAACATGCCTGCAATGGCAACTATCCTGTTACCTGTATTTTCCTACAGTAACCTGTCAAAGAATGAGGGGTCGGCGAATGAGTGAGAGACCAACTGCTCGCTCAGCTGCCGTCAGTCAACGGAGGGACTTCACTTGGGGACTAACTGAAATGCAGCGAGTTATTTCTTATGACTCCCATCACATGGCCTTGGCTTTCCTGATGGGCCTGCATTAGAAGGTGCAGGGAATAT